ATTTTGAGACTGAGTCTTGCTAACTGGCTAAATTGCCCTGGCTGGGCTCTAACTTGCAATCTTCCTGCCTCAGCTTTCCAGAATGCTAGAATTACTGGCATCTGCGAACACAACAGCTAGGGCTTGCATTGTGTATGTGTGTGTGTCTGTGTGTGTGTATGTCTTAAATTTTATTGGTGCATTTAAGATATGCACAATGATAACATTCATCACAGGGAATTTGTACCTGTATGTGATATAACTTGCTGCTTCTTTTTTTCCCCATTCCCTTCCCCTCCCTTCAACCCTTCTTCCCCTCCTTAGTTACAAAACTTTCTTTCCATTTTTTCTTTTATTCTCTTTTTTCCTTGTCCCTTCTTTCATTTCCCCCACCCCCTTCCCGTGTTCCCCTTCTCATTTGAATATTTTCTTCCCATTTCCCAGTATCTATTCTATATTTTGGTCCTTATTTACACTTTTAGCTTCTCAGACCAGAGACACCATGTGGTATTTAAACACATGTATCCAATTTATTTCACTTACGAGTGTGGCTCAAGGTGCATCCATTTAACTAGAAATGTCTCAAGTTTATCCTTCTTTATGGCAGAGTAGTACTCCGTTGCATTAAAAAACCCAACCCAAGTCTCCTTTATCCATTCATCAGTTGATAGGCATTTGGACTGTTTCCAAAATTTAGCTATTACAAACCGTGTAGGGCTTGCACTTTAAAAATACCTTTGTTATGTTCCAGCAATTCATTCTATTGCCTTCTTATGAAGTACAGGCTGGATTGGAAATTTACAAAACTGATCTGTCCCTTAGAATACTCATGAAGCACCATGTTCCCCTGTGGGAACTGCTCTCCTCCCCACTGGCCAGGGCAGTTTTACAGATGGTGGGTGGGGGAGCAACTAGAAGATTAGGAGATTAATTTAGTGTGTCATCATCAGGATTAACAGAAAAGAGGTGGAGTCCAATAGTGAACACAGAGTATTTGAGTATGTTATACGTAGCAAATTCATTGTTTGGACTCCACATAGATTTTGTATATTATATTATTATTATTATTTTGGTGTTTTGTTTTAAGATAAGGTCTTGCTGTGTAGTTCAAGCTGGCCTTGAGTTTACTATGTAGCTCAGACTGGCCTCCAACTTCTGGCGATCCTCCTGCCTCAGCCTCCCAACTGCTGGGAGTACAGGCGTATACCACCACACCCAGATGACTTCATATATTTTAATTCATCTGTGCACTGGATCATGATGAAAAATAGTTTACTATATTACAGTAACAAAAATTTGGATGTGGAAATTCACAGGTAAAGATATCTCTGCCACTGCAGGGAGTAGTCGAACAAGCTTGTAATCCCAGCACTTAGGAGGCTGAGGCAGGAGGATGGTTGTGAGTTCGAGACCAGTCTGGGCTACAAAGTGAGCTCAAGGCCAGCCTGAACTGCATAGCGAGACCCTGTTTCAAAAAGACAGAAAAAAAAAGATATCGCTGCCAGGTCTGCTACTCAAAAGGCCTGGAAGCAGGAGCAACTGGTAAGGAAGGCCCGAGAGGGACACAGCGAGAGGACGGGGTGGAGGAGCCAGCGGTGGAGGAGCAGCGGCCAGGAAGCCCGAACCCCGCAAAGTTCCGGCCTCGATCGTGTCCATGCTCCAGCTCGGAGCATCTGAGCCTGGAGACGCCTGGAGACCGCAGTCCGGGAGCGGGAGCCCTACGCTCGCTGGGGAAACCGAGGGCGACTTCCCGGAAGCGACGACGCCGTAGCTCGCTCCCGAGGGAGGCGCTAGGAGGACAGGGCCGGTGAGCGGGCGGGGAGGAGACCGGCATTTCCCACTTGGCAGCCCGCTGGGGCGCGCGAGAGGCCGCGGGCGTCGGGAGAAGAGCGAAGCCATCGTGGAAGTGGTGGAGAGCCCCCGTCTGGCAGCCCAGGCGAGAGGGGCGCGGGGACCCACCCGATGAGCATCCAGGGGAAGAGTCCCGGAAAGCCTTCAGGGAGCGGCCGGAAGGCCGAAGATGCGCAAGTCTGGGGCCCAGAAACCAGGGAGGCCAGCTACACCTGTAATCCCAGCATTTAGGAGGCTGAGGCAGGAGGGTCATAAATTCAAGGCCAGCATGGGCTGCGTAGATACATTCCCCATCACCACCAAAAAAAGAAAATAAATAAAAAAGAAAAAGAAATCAGTGAGGCAGAGACCTGGGAGGAGAAGCAACAGGCAAATGCTTCAGAAGATCCACTTCCCCAAGGGCTGGAGGGGTCACAGATGTGACCGCTGGGAGGCCACTAGTGCCCTCAGGATAAGGGTGGCCACAGGAGCCAGGGGCTTTGTGGGTGAGTGGAGGCGACAAGGGAGGCAGAGGGCAGGTGGGCCGCCTTTGTGGGAAGAGAACAGTGCCCCTCCCTGCCCCCGCCTGCTCGGACCTGAGCCGGGCAGCAGACCTCAGCCCCCACAGCTCCGGCTGAGGACCCCCAAGGAGGCCTTCTACAGCTGCCGGGCCTGTGGGAGAGAGGCAGCCCGGCCCACAGCAGGGATGCAGGGCCGCGCGAGGTTTCCTTCTGAGGATGTGAGAGACTCAGGCACACCAGTTTGCCCCAATTTGGATGAGGGAGGGGAACCCGGGTGAGTTTAGGAGTGCAGGAGAAGAGGAGAGAAAAGGCTGGCGGAGACCCCAGGCCGGCCGGGGAGGCCAGGGTTAGCTCAGAGTCTGCCCTTGGAGCAGGGACGCTGTGACACAGCCGGGATCATCTGTCCCCGGGGAGCCAGGACTGGGTGACATGCGCTCTGCAGGGAGCAGGCCAGGCCCGGCAGGCCAGGCGGGGAGGTCTGGCCCCGAGCCTCTGTTTTCTTGTTATTTGCTTCTCACCAGGGAACATTTCCAAACACACCCCAACCCAGTGGGAAACTCAGATGAACCCTCTCCACCTGTCATTTCAATTTAACAGGTATTAGTATTGCCACTTTTATTTCATAGCAGTCCCTTTAGGTGCCCTTTAAAAAAAAAAAACTTTAAAAAAATCTTAACAGACTTTATTTTTTAGAGCAGTTTTTGGTTCACAGAAAAATTGAGTGGAAGGTACAGAGATTCTCCCTATACTCCCTGTTTAAAAACTTTTTTCTTTGGAAATAATTTTAAGCTTACAGAAAAGGCAAGAGCAAATTTATCTTTTTAAAGTTCCTTTATTTTAAAAGCACTTTTTCTTGTTAGAAAATAGATTCACAGCTGAATGTGGGAGTATACACCTGAAATCCCACATTCTGGGAAACTGAGGCAGGAGGCTCACAAGTTTGAGCCCAACCCTGACAGTTTAGCAACTTACTGAGATCTGCCTCAAAATAAAATAAAATAAAATAAAATAAAATAAAATGGCTGAAGATGTAGCTCAGAGTGGAGACCCAGAGTGGAGACCCTGGGTTCATGCCCAAACACCAGAAAAGGAAGAGAAAGAAAAAGAGAGAAGGAGAAAA